TTCTTAACCTGTTCAGGCTCTTATAATAAAAATATCTGAACCTGAGTGGCTGATAAACAGTATACATTTGTATCTCACAGTTCTGGAGACTGGCAAGTCTAAGATCAGGGTGTTAGCATGGTGAGGTTCTGGTGAGGAACTTTTCTGGGGTGCAGACTGCCAACTTCTTGCTGTATTCTTACATGGTAGAAGGAGTAACTAACCTCTCTCAGTCCTGTTTTCTAAGGGCATCAATCCCATTCACCAAAGCTCTGCCCTCATGAACTAATCACATCCCCAAATTTCCACTTCCTAATATCATCATCTCAGGGACTAGAGTTTCAACATATGAATAGGTGAGGGGTTGAGAAGGCAAAACATTCAGACTACAGTGTTGTTTGGGGCTTAGACTTGTGGTTTGGCTTGTTTAGTTACTTTCTTGAGAAGAAGAGATTTAATACTTAATTTTGTTTCACTATATTACCCCTTTCTTCCTCCTCGTAGTTTGCTAATATAGCATAATGGTTGAGAACTCAGACTTTAAAGTCTGACTGTGTTTAAATCACAGCTCTGATACCTACCAACTATGATCTCAGGGAAGTTATACAACCTCTGTGTAGCTCTACTTCCTTCATTGATGTTGTGTATGTTACCTGCCCAAGCTGTAGCTGCAAGAAAGGTTGAGAAAGTAGACTCTTTATTTCTAAGGTGAAGGATTCTCAAATGTAGGGGGGCAAATTGTTTATGACAAGTGCCCCTCTATGGCAATGCTTCTTGACCTTCATTTTGCACATGAGCCATTTGGAGATCTCGTTAAAATGCAGATTCTGATTCAGTAGGTTTGGCATGGAACCTGAGATTTGCCAGTACCCAGGTGATGTGAAGCTGCTGATCTGAGGATCATACTTTGAGTAGCAAGTCTCCATAGCACCAATTTTCAAATTTGGCTGCATATTGGAGTAACTAGAGAAACATTTCCTTAAAAAATTTACTGACTTTTGAACCCTGCACTCAGCCGATTTAATTGGTTTGGGGTGAGGCATGGACATATAAATTTTTCACAGTTCCCTAGATGATTCTAATGTACTCAGATACCTTTTACTGCATGCTCCAACTTCTTGTCTTTTTGCAAGGTTATTTTAATTTCATTTTTCTGAGACACAGTCTCACTGTGTTACTAAGGCTGGAATGCAGTAGGGGCAATCTTGGCTCACTGCAACCGCCACTTCCCAGGCTCAAATGATCCTATCACCTCAGCCTCCTGAGGATCAGGGATCACAGGTGCACATCACCACACCCAGCTAATTTTTGGTATTTTTGGTAGGGACAGGGTTTTGCCATGTTGCCCATACTGGTCTCAAACTCCTGAATTCAGGTCATCCATCAGCCTCAGCCTCCTAAAGTGTTAGAATTACAAGTGTGAGCAAGCAAGCCAACCTGCAAGGTTACTTCCTTCCTCCAGCTTCCAGAACTTCTATTTTCCCTGCCTTGTTTGGTTTCTCCCCTGGTAATTTGATTATTCTCATTTATTAGGCAGAACAATTTGAAACTCTACTTTTTAGTCCCATGGGCCAAACTTTGGGTATCTAAAGCTCCATACAGTTCTGCAGATCCAGTGTTTTCCAAAACTATGTTACCTGTTGCCCTGGCAGAATGTGGTATGAAGTGATGCATAAACAAATATTGTTTTAAATTCTAAATCATTCTGTATTTATTTTAATGTCATTGTTCAAAGTGTAGCTAAAACGGTACATCTGAGCTTGCAAATATTATTGTTTAGGATAAGAAGTTAATTTTAAAAACAGGTAAATAACAATAGAGGCTCAGGGCAGATACAACAAAAATCTTGAAATGATTTGCAAGTGATTGAAATTCAAGGGTGCCTATAAAAGCATAGCCTTCTTTCCAAAGCCATAGGCTTTAGAAGCACAGAAGAACTGGCAGAGGTGTTCAAAGACAACAGCATTTTTTCTTCTCCCCCAACATATAGGTAGCAATATAAAGATTTATTTCTGAGCTCATATGAATTATGCCACTAATCTTACTCAACACATTGACATGGATACAATTAGTTTTGATCACAATATTTTTTTATTAAGAAATTTCACAAGATTTCGAGACAATAGCACCAACCTTTGAAAAATTCATGATCTAAAGAAAAGTAAATTCTAAGAATCACTCATGAAATATAAATACAAAAAATGTTTGATTCCTTAACCAGCTAATCTTTAACAAGAAAATGGGTGAAACTGTTCAGAATTGTTAAGAACTAATGCACAAATCCAGAAAGTGTTAAAACTCCGAAGCAGGATAAATTTTTTAAAACTCCACACCTATTGACATAATTGGGAAAGTTCAGAACACCAAAGAAAAATTGATCTTAAACAGCAAAAAGACTGACAGCAGTCCTTTTGACTCTCAGTAGCAATAGAGAACTAGAAGATAACAGAGTAAAATGCTCAATATTCTGACAGGGAAAATACTTGTAAACCTAGAATTGTCTATTCAGTAGAATTATCATGAAACAAAAGGGCAAAATCAAAATATTTCAGGTGGGAAAAAACCCAAGAGTACCACATCACACTGTCACACAAATCATAAGTAATTTGCTACAGGAACAAGGAAAATGATTCAGAAAGAAGATCTGAGATATGCAGAGAAATGGTAAGCAAAATATTATTACATTTGTGGGTGGGTTTAAAAAACGATGTCTACTTTATATGATGAAAACAGGATAGAGCTAAAGTAGTGAATAACTTATAAACTGAGAGAAGGGAGGGTATGCAGAGCTAAAACATCCTAAAGACCTTTGTATTATGAGCTTTATATTTTAAGTTTACATTTTAAAATATTAAAACAAACACTTAAATGCGCTTAGAGTGCATTACTCCAAATAGTGGGAAAAATAACACACACACAAAAAAACATACACACACACAATCCAAAAGAAGCTTCTTCTCTAAGTCTTATTCTGAGCATATTACCACTATCTTCTAGTTTCTATTGCTACTGAGCAGCTTCTTCTGTAAGTTTTAACTTTATTTTTTGTATGCCATTCTTATACAAGGTAAGTAGTGTGTATAATTTCTTATTGTGAGCGTATCCTTAAATAATCATTTTCTCATGAGAATCGCTTTCAGCCTAGGTTGTAGAAGCATTCATCCAAGTTGGTTTTATGTTTGCTTCTGCCAGGAATTCTTGATGCCCCATGTCTAGGATCTCTTCAGGCAGGAGACAGGGTGATGGTGTAGGAGGATCAATTTCTTGGCTTGCGGATTCCAATAATTTGTTATAGATTTAAACCATGAACTTTGATGACATGCAGGTCTAGGGTTTCAAAATTTAATCAGAGTTAAATACGTATTTTCTTCATCCAGAGATGGGACAAGCTTCCTCATATGCTCGTTCATGGGTGATTTGCATTTTTCCTACTCCATCCTTTTCCTAAGGATTTTAGGGACAATGGCTTTTTGCAGAGTACTCATTTCCAGGTGCCACCTCGAGCCCTTACCTCCTGCTCCTAAACATCCACACCTCAAGTTAGAGAGAGTAACTACATTTTGCCCACATCTGGGGGGACCAATCTTCCTGGTTTCCTTAGGGACGTTGTAATTTCTCAGTGCTAAAACCTGTAAGTTCTGGGCAAACTAGCATGACTGGTTGCCCTACAACCCAGCCCCCATATCCAGGGTGGAAGAAAAATCAGTTGAACAAGTCATTGCTCTTGTTTTCAGTTTATTTTTGGTACTTGGAATTTCCCTTCTTTTTTTATGGGTTTAGCTGCCTATTGAATAAAAACTTTTTTTTATCCCGCATTAGTAGGTGATAGTATGAGACACTTCTCACGTTATAGAACTCCACCATTTTGCCAGTTCAAAAAGTAACATTTTAATGCTTTCAGTCAGTACAGAAGTGAAGTCTGAGGATAAAGGTGACAGCCACTCAGCCCTGTGTGTATAACAAGGTGCTGCAGTGGTCCCCAAAGTTATGTGATTGGCTCCACCAACTGCCCCACAGCTTGATGCTGCTCTAGGCCCTGGCGCCAACCTTGAGAATGTTTCAGAATTCTCTAGGAAGGCCTAGCATCTTCCTGTAAGGCCTAGATTTTAAAATGTAAAATCCCTGAGCAAAGAGAGATTCTTTTATTCTGTTCACGCCTGCATCTGCAGTACCTTGTAATCACAGGCACTCAGTAACTGTTTCTTGAAAGAATAAACATCCTGGCCGGGCACGGTGGCTCAAGCCTGTAATCCCAGCACTATGGGAGGCCGAGACGGGCGGATCACGAGGTCAGGAGATCGAGACCATCCTGGCTAACACGGTGAAACCCCGTCTCTACTAAAAAATACAAAAAAACTAGCCGGGCGAGGTGGCGGCGCCTGTAGTCCCAGCTACTCGGGAGGCTGAGGCAGGAGAATGGCGGGAACCCGGGAGGCGGAGCTTGCAGTGAGCTGAGATCCGGCCACTGCACTCCAGCCTGGGCGACAGAGCGAGACTCCGTCTCAAAAAAAAAAAAAAAAAAAAAAAAAAAGAATAAACATCCTGAATGTCAAAACTGGCATATTCTTCCATCCAACCCCTTCTATCTCAAACTTGACAGAAAGTAGTCCAAGCTTCTGGCCCGTCTGTCTCCTTCCGTTTTCCAGACTTGCTTCTTTTTATTTCCGTAGGCATTTAAAAAGATTTTGGGGTGGGTGTGAAGCTAACAGTGATTGTGCTAACCCTGTGCATTCCAGAAGTCATTTTGAAACTACTGCCTAGTCCCATTAGATTATCAAAACTATACCACATATTTCAGTATGCATACTTATTTCAAGGAAGTTTTGGAGGTGATGTGTGTGTCTCTCGGTCCATGTGAGGGCGGGACCCCAGGCACTGGCCCTGCACCCATGCACGGCGTACCCTGCGTATCGTACACAACCACAGCGTGTGGGACGCCGTCGTCCCCCGCAGGCCCCCACCTAACGCCAGCAGGGGGCGGGGGCGCTGCCACCCATTGGCTGAGGCCGATACCACGCGCCCCGATACCCGGCACTGGAGGCACCTCCCAGAATCCCGCGGCCCACGCCTCAGTCCGCCTGCGCTCCTCAGCCTGGCGGGTCCGCTTTTAGAGGCTCTTTAGCTTTGTCGCCTGCCCTTGATTTAACTTACACCTTCGCCTTTGGCTCCTTTGACTGCTCGAAGCCCCGCAGCCAGTTCCCGCGGACTTCACCAGCAGACCCAGAAGTGGTGGGTGAAGCAAGCGTCTGTTCCTCCTTGAGCCTGTCAGGAACTGCTGCCTGCCGCCATCATGGTGAGTTGAGGGAGAGGCCTGAGGGCCAACGCCTGTGGGGTCTTCACCGGTGGGCGAAACCAGGCCCCGCCTCACTCTCAGATTTCCCATTCTGGGGACACCCGCCTAGACGCACTATGAGTCGTGTCCGGCAGGGTGGGAAGAGGCAGCCTCGCAGTGGTGCGGCCTACAGAGAGGCCGGCACGGAAGTGGCGGGACACCGAGCGTGGCGTGATGGTGGGCCCCGGAGAAGCACTGCCTCATAGGCCACTTGCAAGGGCCACAGCCTTGGTGCGGCACCCATTTCCTGCCCTGGGTTCTCTCCTGGTAGCGGTTTGGGGTGCGGGTTCCACCCCTCCCACGCGCCCCGACCCCCCGCCAACCTCACTTCCTGCTTTCTCCAGGTGGCTCCGCAAGATGGTGGCGGGCCTCCTGACTGACCTTCTTGAACTGGGAGGGCCAGAACTTCTTCAGGAGTGATTCTCTCCTGCTGCTTGTACGGGGTGGGGTGTGGTGGGGTGCGGTGGGGTGCGGTTGGATTTGGGTTTGTGGGGGCTTTAGCGAGTCATGTGGGGTGTCCTGAAGGCACGTCCGGCTAGCTGAGGGGGTGGGTGGGACGTGCCTCTGGTGGAAGTGGTTCTCTCTTGGTCCTTGTACGGGGTAGGGTGGAGTTTGTGGGGACCTTAGCAAGGCGTGTGGGGTGTCCTACAGGCACGGCCCGGTAGCTGAGGGGTCTGGGCGGGAAGTGCCTCTGGTCCCCTGGTGCCTGCCAGCTGCTGGGTACTTGCTGATGGCGGCTCCCTCCTGCAGTGGCGACAGGCACAAAAGCTCGCCTGATGCCATCTTTGCGGCGTGAGGTCACCTTCAGTAGTTGCCATTGATACTTTTAAAATTTTTAAACTCCAGGCACAATTTTTCCCCTCTGGATAAACCAGGCATCTTTGACAGAATGTCCATGTGGTAGATAATGTTGAGTGTGCATTTCCGTGAGTTTGGTAAATGCCCAGCGTTGTTTGGGAGCCACCGCAGATGCGGCTCTGAATGCGCTAACCAACCACTGAGTCACAAACGCGAATTACTTGCTGTATGTGTGTGTGTCTGCTTTGATAATTCTGTCTCTTCGTTTTTAGAGATAAGAGGAGGAGATTTATACACAGTTTATATTACCAAGTATAAACATTAAAATAAAAATATATAATTAAGCAGCCATTATGTGCAATAAGTGTACTACATGTAGTTATCCGTGCTGATAGAAATAATCACTTTGAGTTATAAGTAATAAATATTTATAATAATACTTTTCGTTTTTAGAAGTAAAGGGAAGAAATCCTAATAGTTTCATCAATTTTTTCTGATTATGAAAGTATGTTTATTCATTTGGAAACAATCACACTAAGAAAATAGTAATCCATCTTAATCCCTTTCACCAGTTTTTGTCTGATTATAATAGTATGTTTACTCATTTGAAAACAGTCACACTAAGAAAACAGTAATCCATCTTAATCCCAACATATATAACCGCAGTTAATTTTTGATACATGAATGGCCTTCCAGCTTATTTTTATGCATGTATTGCTATTGCATATAGATAGGCCAACTTTTAGAAAGGTTACATCATGCTGCTTAATACTGTTTTACAACTTGCATCTTTCAATTAATATGGACGTTATTCTGAAGGTAACTTTAATTTTCAATATATGTTAAAAATTATATTATTATTTTACGAAATTACCTTATGATGAATAGTTTTTCAGTGTTAAAACTGTCACAGGCTGGGCACAGTGGCTCACGCCTCTCATCCCAGCTCTTCAGGAGAATGAGGCGGGCGGACCATTTGAGGTCAGGAGTTCAGGAACAATGATGAAACCCTATTTCTACTAAAAATACAAAAAAATTAGCCAGGCATGGTGAATGCACTTGTAATCCCAGCTACTCAGGAGGCTAAGGCAGCAGAATCATTTGATCTTGAGAAGCAGGTTGCAGTGAACTGAGATAGTGCCACTGCACTTCAGCCTAAGCAATAAAGTGAGACTGTCTCAAAAAAAAAAAAAAAAAATGCTATGAATATCCTTGTGTAAATATCTTGGCACGCTTGTACTATTAACTCCTTGAGATGAATTACCATCAGTAGCATGGTTGGGTGAAACCGCTTTGCCCTTTTATAACAATATTAAATTAGGCTCCACGTTAGTGTAGTGGTATCTCCACATATCAAATTATGATACACCTTTTCCAAGGTACTCTTGGTAAAGCATGTATCAGTATTTTCTCACTGACGGTGTGTAGAGTGATCTCTCTTCCACACCCTTACAGTGAACGGTATTAAGATTTTTTAAACTGTCAACCTAATAGCTGGAAAATATTACATTGTGTTGATGTGCAGTTTTAAAAATCATCAATGAATTTAATCATGTATCATTAGCTTTTTAATTTTCCTTTTTAATTTTCTTTTTCTTACTGATGCATAAAAACTTTATTACTATTCACATTTGTCATACATAGTGGAAAAATATATGTAGTACTAATAAGGAGGTGCCCTGGTGCCCTTAACTTACCCTTATTTTCAATGGAGATGGCTCTAGTATTTCACTTTAAGGTTAATGGTAGGATAATACTAGATTGATAGAAAAGGACATACCTCTATATTTTACTTAGGTTTTTAAAAAATTTTAAAATGAATGCTGTATTTTATTAAATACTTTCTTAATGGTGAATTAAAGTAACATGTCCTGAGAATGGAGTATTCTTGCTTTGCCAATAAAAACTATATTCTTTATTCCTGGAATTTTGCACTTGTGTTGAGGGGAGGGATGGACCATCTTGATTAGGCCTTGTTACTTATATGCTGTTAGCTTTGTAAAATGCATTGAGAAATACTTTTTTCCTCTTTGAAAATTGAAGAGAAGGTTTAAATTTCTTGATCTCTTCTTCTGTGTTTTCTGTCTTTATTTCAGGTTTCTGGTGTGTGTGCACACCTCTCTCTGACACACACACATACACCCAAGATATCTATTTCTAAGTTGAAAAAACTCCCAGGGAAACTGAGCCAGATAACATTAGGTATTCTTTTTAAGACTGTTTGGTAAAAATTGAAATTTCACTACGAGTTTACCATGTCGTTGATTTCCAAATTTATTTGTATAGAGTTTGTATGTAGCAGTCTTTTATAATCTGTGGCCACAACCTGTTTTTCAGGTCTCATATATACTTTTGCTGTCTTGCTTTTTCTTGCTTAGTTTTGCCAGGATTGTTTATTGCTTGAATTTCAACCTCGCCACCCACCACTCCCCGAGAATCTACTCTTCGATTTACTTCTGATTTTCACATCATATTTTCTTAAATTTAGCACTCTCTATATTTACTCATCTTCTTGTTGCTGTGAATGTAACTTTGATGCCTAGGGAATAAAACTTTGATGACTACAAATGATAGGCTTTTTCAAGGTCAGTTTATATAAATATCAGTTTGCTTACATGTTCACATAGTAATTGAAGTAGATTATACTGGCAAAGGAGTAGGATGTGCAGTAGTATCCCTGGCCTTCAGCCCATCAGATTCCAGGAATACATCTCAGTTGTGACAGCCCATCTCTAAACATCACTAAATGCTGCTGGGGCTCAAAAATCTTCCCCAGTTGAGAATCAATGCATTTCCCTAACCACTAATAATCTGACATAGTTTTCGGCCAGATCTTACACCTCTAAATTAAAATACATCAAACACTATGGTGCAGAGACAATACTGTAATATAGCTTATCAAAGAAAAACGTATCCGAAGTTCATCCGCAAATCAAGGGGAAATTGAAAAGGAGAAAAAGAAACTACAGAAATTCCTTTTGTTTTGTTTTATTCTGTTTGTGATTTCTGAATGAACTGAGAAGGGATTGGTAAATTATCTATAGGGAAGGGAAATCTAATCAAGTCCCCAATAGTTCAGGATAATGCAGCTTAATGTCATCTAGAAAAACAATGATATAAGACATTTTTAGAAAGGAAGAACTTTAGACATAGTTTTTTAAGTTTTTCTCTCACATCATTGTCATGAAATAGCCCTATTAAAGGAAAGAATTAGGAGTTAGTAACAAACCCAAAATAGCAAGTATAAGCACAAAAGAATAGAGAAAAGCAATAAACTCACCTTCAGATGATTTGAGAATTTAGAGATCATCTCTACCAAAGCTGTGTAGAATCAGTAACCTCTAGCATCTTATTAACAAAACAGGAACTCTACTTTCTTATTAACTTCTGTGACATCACTGTGCTTTACAAAAAGACGTATAGTTTCTCTTGTCTTTTGTTTTCTTTCAAACAGGTATATTTTTGCTAGCTTTCTGTTTTGCAGCCTTTTGTACTTACCTTTTGTAGTCAACAGGCACTTCACCAAAGATTTTTAAATTAGCGATGTGCCATAGTTTCATGGTGTTTCAATTAGTTCTTAATTAAAATTTCTCCAAAATAAGTCAGCTAAAATAGTAAAGCCAAAAAGAAACTTGAAAAAAATTTACTGAAATTAATTCAAATAACAGGACACTAACTTACATTGGCATACCGCTTTTACCACTTTATACATACAAAGTGAATTCACAGATGTTATCTCATTTCATTCTCAAAGCAGTTTGCCCAGAGATACACAGCTGGCAAGTAAGTGGCTTATAACCACTTACCAGTAAGGAACATAAACCTAGATCTCCTGACTTGATTAATTTTTGTTTCCCTATGCTAGATTGTTTCTGCAACATTACTTATGAATACTACTTCAGAAAATTTTACATTAATCTTAGAGTTTACTGTGGAAATAATAAAGACAGTTCTAATCAGAATCTAGAAAATTAATGAATTATATGTATTTTTCTATCTGAAAATAAAGATGGTATCATATATATCTGTCAGCCTACTGTGAAAATTAGAATTACCAGTTGGACTGATTTGGTGTTACCCAGGAGAAAAATGTTATTTCAAAAGAAGCTTTGAACACCCTACTATGAGGGAAGAGGATTATAACCTGTTTTTTAGAAGGAGCTGTGACATGTGAACAATACTGTTTGCATGAGCCATTTCTAAAGTAAAGCAGGTATACTAATACAGGGAGTGCTAACATTGTAAAAACTCATGTTAATTATGTTGAAAAAGGCAAAGCAAGACAAATTGGTTTAAAACTTTGAGGCTTATTTTCTTTTTGATGCGGCTCTTTTTTTTTTTTTTTAAGGTTTATCCTTAGTATACTCAGTAAAGTGAAAAGTTTATGAATATAGAACAGGGTGATTTTAATAACTTTATATAAATCTGAACTTTCTAGTTTTGGATTTTTTTTTAACTAATTCACAGAGTATTTTCACAAATACTAAATATTCTTTCACAGCATTGTACAAGACTCGGTGATGAGCAACACTGGGCTTAAGAAAGTACTATATCCTTTGGTTAAATTCCATCCGGATGTACTCTGATTAGTTTAGATCCTGAACCTGAACTTAGCTGCAGTGGTGACTAATTTACAATGAAAATACTTTTTATAAAATATTTTACACTTAAAACACAAAAATTATATTTCACATTATGTATGGGTTTTGCCTGTATATCTAATTGTGATGTCTACTTTCCAAATTACAGCCTGCTGCAAATCCTGAGACTCCAAACTCAACCAGCTCCAGAGAAACTAGCACCCAGTCTTCATCTGCTGCAGTTAGCCAAGGCTATGTTTTACCAGAAGGCAGAATCATGCCAAACACTGTTTTTGTTGGTGGAATTGATGATAGGGTATTGTATTCATACCTCATTTTTGCCTTAAAGTGCATTATGAACAATGGGATTTGGGCCCTGTTACAAACTTAATTTTTTTTTTTCTTTGTACTTCATGGAGGCTTAGAGTTGGGTTTACTTTTGACCCATAGGTACTAAAAATATCTTTGACAAAGAGCTACCGGTCATTTAGGTAAAACTGGGGGAGAAATTTTCACCTCATTGTAGTAAAATTGTAGTAAAATGGAAATTTTTGAATGCTGAATTTTTACTCTTGGAATTCAATTCTTTTCCATAGATGGATGCAACTGAGATTAAAAGCTTCTTTGGTAGATATGGTTCAGTGAAAGAAGTGAAGATAATCACAGATCGAACTGGTGTCTCCAAAGGGTGAGTAATTTTATCAAAAATACCTGAACTCTAGTCACCTATAGTGTGTCAAAGAAGACTTCAAAAGTGATACTGTGACACATGTATAAATGAAATTTTTTGCCGTGTTAGTTTCTTTCATGTAGGGGATAAAAGGTTATTGCCAACTCTTTTATTTATTCATTTTTCTAATGTTTATTTTTAAATGTCTGCAATTCCTGTTTCATACAAATGAGTTACCAGTTTTGTCAAATAATTGTTTTCTTCATACACTGCACAATGTCTTAAATTTTAACCATCTTGTCTTAGATAGTAAGTTAATTTCAGGTTCACAGATATGAATTCTTTGTTAATCAATAAAGTTTTCACACTGTCCTAATCTTAGCACATTTTGACATAGTTCCGATTAGGAAAAAGAAGTATTTGTAGAGGATCTGTCATGTACATCTTAACAAGTAGTTATCATGGTATATTATTTTTTGTCACGATCACTGCTGTATATAGAATAGCAGAAGTTCTGAACTATGTACTGCCTGATGGTGATTTTATACTTCATTTATCTGCCTTTATAGCTATGGATTTGTTTCATTTTTTAATGACGTGGATGTCCAGAAGATAGTAGAAGTAAGTAATCTAATAGAAAAATCTATTATTTATTTTATTGATACAACATTTAGTGTTAGTGATATACTAAGTCTTGTGTAAAATTTGGAGAAAGATATACTTTCTGTTCAAAATCCAAACTTAGAGTAGCCACATAACTTGTTAGATCCTGTTTATTTTTGACTGGACACCTAGGTTCATGAACTACAGGCAGGAAGGGTTGTAGAAAGGGTTGTAGAAAGGGTGATGAAAAGTTTTTGATCACCTTTCACTTGATGCCTCTTGACACTGATTAGAGTAGTAAGGATAAGTAAGGTAGCTTCATGATGACAAATTATAATTTGGTGTGTATCTATATATACTATATAGATATACTATATTATCTGTATAGAAGATATACGGATCTTCTATAATAATAGAAACTTCAGAAGACTTTATATATTTACCCAAGTCTTGGAAGTCAAGACTTGAAAACTGAGTCTAGTTTTGTTACTGTTTTATTTTCAGTCACAGATCCATATCCAGGGTAAAAAACTGAAGCTGGGCCCTGCAATCAGAAAACAAAATTTGTGTGAGTAGGAAAAGACATTGTTCTTTTTGACACGTGTAGATTTTCAGATAACTAAAAATAGGCTTTTTCCTTTTTGCTTTTTAAAAAGGTGCTTATCGTGTGCAGCCACGTCGTTTGGTATTTAATCCTCCTCCTCCACCGCAGTTTCAGAATGTCTGGAGTAATCCAAATGCTGAAACATATCTTCAGCCCCGAGTCGCGCTGAATCCTATAACTCAGTACGTTCAGGTGAGAACTGCTTACGTTCCTGTTGTCTTATTTTAGTCATCATTCCTTCTGTGCAATTGTATCTACACTTCCCATAGTAGGTGGCAATAGAATCCCTGTTTGAATACCTTGAGTGATGGGAAATTTATTATTTCTGTTAGAAATTTCTTCTTCTTAATGTTTGTTATATGAGCAAAAAATCTACATACATTGTCAGTCTTTCTATTAGGAATGACCTCTATAGACACATGAACAAATCTCTTCCTATCTCTTCCTTTTTCACCCCACGTAACTAATTCCTAAAGTATTTGGAAGCAGCTCTCCTCATGTACCTGCCTAGTTCATTTTTCTGTAAGATTAGGAATTCATCTAGCTATTCTTTACTAGAGATGATTTCCAGATGCCTCCTCATGTAAATTGCTGACTTCTGGATATATTCTGGTTCTGGAATGGGTAGATTTCTGATCTGTTTTACTGTTGTCTATAAAACCCATGAATTTCGGGCATCTAATTTCTCTCATCCTGGTTACTTTGATGTTTAAAGTAGGATTTGACATGCTCTATCACTTACTGTTGATAAATAATATTTATTTTCTTCTTAGTTCATTTTATATTTGTGTTAGTTAAAAGACATTTTCTTTGATGGAAAATAAAGTAAGAAAATAGTAGTGGAATAGTTCTTCAGTATCTCTCGTTTGTTAACATTTTCCGTGTATTTGAAACGTGTGGGGACCTCTTCTTCTTTTTCCTTCCCTGAACAATGGCTAGAAAAAAAGCCCTACTTGTTTCTGTCATTTACTATGAGCCATTACTGATTCTGAGTGTATTCTTTTGTGCTGCTACCTGTATGTTTTTAATTAGTAAGTATTTATTGAAACAGCAGATATTACAGTGTCTCTTTTCCAGTTGTGGATTATTTACTGCCCTTAGTTTTTTGAAATAAAGTACAGAGAAAGCCATAACATCTGTAGAAGAACTACAGTACTACCCTGTATTATTGTCAGATACAAAACAATCTGGAAGTATTTAGGCAAGGAAATAATAAATGTATTAATTTAACTTACGTTGAAATCTGTCTTAGTAGAGCCTTATTACCAATATAAGAAATAACTGCTGGTTGGGCATAAGTACACAGAAGTAAGGTAAACTTTGAATGGTGAAGTAGTCAGTTATTTTATAATTTGTCTCTTCCCCCTCCCCACTCACAGGATAGCACTTGACACAGAATATTTTTCTTCCTAAAGTCAGTCATTCATTTAGAATTCTGCATTGTTGTATATAGAAAAACAATTAATATTTTAAAGTTTTTCCTTTTTTTTGTTATATTGGGAATGATATTTCTTTCTCATTTTAAAAAAAATGTTTTACCATAGCTAATCATTCTTTCTGTAAACTTTATTTTCAGGCATATCCTTCTTATCCAAATTCACCAGGTCAGGGCATCACTGGATATCAGTTGCCGGTGTATAATTATCAGGTATTTGAAGAGGGAGTAACATGATTTACTTCAGATATTATTGAGGCCTTTAACTTGTTTATACAAATTGCCTGAATAGTCAGTCATTTTAAACTAGTGAAATGTAGCTTAAATTGAAGAAAACACTTAGAATTGATCAGAATGAAGACCTCTGTATTATTTTGAAGTAATGGAATAACATTTTGACAGGAATACAGTTAGCAGTAACTTTTCTGTAGAACAGATTTTTGAGATTTGATGTCTCCTATACTGCAGCATGTATTTTTTTTATCTTTGCTATCAAAGAGTTGAAACATCCAGACTGACTTCCATGAATTTTGTAGAGATACAGAGTGAAATAAAATTATTACTCAAGTCTTAGATCCCAGAATTGCAATCAGATTTTTATTTTAGCTTGCTGCTTCATGATAGTAGTTCTCTGGGTCTCTTTTCAGAGATATGACTATATCTATGACCCATTCTTGTATCAATCATAATAAATTCAAAGAACTGGTATCTTTGAGAGTTCCACAATGCTATCTCCAGAAAATTTGGAAAAAAGTTGAGGCTTTATATGTGGAAGTAACAACAAGAACTTCAGGAATTAGTAACCTATAGCACTTCTTTTTTCCATTCTGTTTCTTTTATTATAATAGCAAATGAGCCAGCATGATACATACTTCAATATTGTATATCTGATGTGTTTTTGAAAATGTATAGGAATATTTGAATCATTTTGGTTTCCATTTTGTTTTTTCAAGATGCCACCACAGTGGCCTGTTGGGGAGCCAAGGAATTATGCTGTACCTCTGGTAAAGTCAGTTAGCCAAACATATACTCCCTGTTCTTTCCTGATTTTTTTCTGTGTTATATATGCCTACAAATATTTTTAAATCGTTCTTTATATTGATGTGTTATGTTTTGTTACCTTCTTTTTAACGTAATTATAAACTCCCTGGGAGCAATAGTGCCTTTTTCTCTCTCAGGTTTTGTGTGTCTAAGCAATGGCTGGTTCACGTAATGATCAATGTTCAGTTACTTGTTGATAGACTGTATAATCCCAGAAAGATAGTATTAATATGGCTTTAGAATGAGCACATATCTGCCTGGAATCTACCTCTGGCTTTACCGTCCTTAAAAAAAAAGTGTTGAAGAGAAACAGAAATGTTTTGCTGTTAATTACTCCTAAATAAGTGTAGGAACAAAAAAGAGTATTACTTCTAAAACACCTGAACTGCTTTCCCCCAATATAATGAGTTCACGAAAATGTTTGATAGCAACTGTCTGTATGTGTCTGCCTGGTTGTTTCCTCTCTAAGGTTAGCAATTCATCCAGCTATTCCTTACTGGGAATGATTTCCAGATCCCTCCTCATATAGATTGCTGGCTTATGAATATATTCTGGTTCTGAATTGGGTAGATTTCTGATATGCTTACTGTGTCTGTAAATCCCGTGAGTTTCTGGCGTCTAATTTCTCTCATCCTGGTTACTTCAATATTTAAAGTAGGATTTGACGCACTCTATCACTTATTGGTGTTAAGTAATATTTATTTTTTTTTAGTTTGTTTTAATTTTGTCTTAGTTTAAAAGACATTTTCTTTGACGGAAAATAAAGTAACAACATAGTAGTGAAGTAGTTCTTCAGTGTCTCTCATTTGTTCACATTTTCCATGTATTTGAAACGTGTAGGGTATACCTCTGCTTCTTTTTCATTATGTGAACAAAGGCTAGAAAAAAAGTCCTACTTGTTTCTAACATTTACTTTGAGCCGTTACTGAATCTGGTTGTATTCATGTATGATGCTACCTATATGTTTTCAAACTGTAAGTATTTATTGAAACATAGGAGACATTATACTGTCTCTTTTCCAGTTGTGGATTATATACAGTGCTTAGTTTTTCAAAATGAAGTACAGAAAAAACCATAACGTTTGTAGGGGAACTTCATGTTACTCTATAATATTGGCAGATACAAAACTCTTCATAATATTTAACATAGAAATAGCAAATGTATTAATTTAACTGACATTCAAACCTGTTTACATTCAAACCTGTCTTAATAGAGCCCTATCACCAGTGTAAGAAATAACATCGGGGTTGGCATAAGTACACAGTATAAATAAAGTAAACTTGTCTGGTGAAATAGTCACTTATTTTGTCATTTGTCTGTTCCCCCTCCCCACCCAAAGCATAGCACTTAACAGAATATTTATTTCTTCATAAAATCGGTCACTCATTTAGAATTCTGCAATGCTGTATATAGAAAAATAATGAATGTTTTAAAGTTTTTCATATTTTTAATATTTGGAATATTTCTAATTAAAAAAATGTTTCTCTGTATTCATTTATTCTTACTGTAATCTTTATTTTCAGGCATATCCTACTTATCCAAATTCACCAGGTCAGGTCATCGCTGGATATCATTTGCCTGTATGTAATTATCAGGTAATTTAAGAGGGAGTAAAATGATTTACTTTCAGATATTGATGCCTTTGTTTATACAAATTGCTTTAATAGTTTGTCATTTTAAACTAGTGAAATGTACCTAAAATTTAAGAAAACCCTTAGCATTTGTCTAGAATGAAGAACTCTGTATTATTTAGAAGTAATTGAGTAATATTTTGAAAGGATTGTACTTTGCAATAACTTTACTGTAGGACAGTTTTTTGAGATTTGGTGTCCCCTTCTGTATTGTAACATTTTTTTTTTCATATTTACTGCCAAATAGCTGAAACATCCAGACTGACTTTTATCAATTTTTTAGAGAGACAGAGTGAAATAAAATTATTACTCAATTTTTAGAGCACAGAATTCGAATTATGTATTTTTTTTTAGCTGACTGCTTCACATTAGTAGTTCTCTGAGTATCTTCATAGATACGACTGTATATTGACCCATAATCATATCTGTGGTAATAAGTTCAAAGAGCTAATATGTTTGAGATTTCCACAATACCAACCCCAGAAAATTGGTGAAAAGTTGAGGTTTTATGTATAAAAGTAACAACAAGAATGTCAGGGATTAGAAACCTAAAGTACTCTTTTTTCCGTTTTGTTTCTTGTATTATAATAACAAAGGCTTTGGTATCCGGATGATGTTGGCCTCATAAAATGAGTTAGGGAGGATTCCCTCTTTTTCTATTGATTGGAATAGTTTCAGAAGGAATGGTACCAACTCCTCCTTGTACCTCTGGTAGAATTCAGCTGTGAATCCATCTGGTCCTGGACTTTTTTTGGTTGGTAGGCTATTAATTATTGCCTCAATTTCAGAGCCTGCTATTGGTCTATTCAGGGATTCAACTTCTTCCTGGTTTAGTCTTGGAAGAGTGTAAGTGTCCAGGAAATTATCCATTTCTTCTAGATTTTCCAGTTTATTTGCGTAGAGGTGTTTATAGTATTCTCTGATGGTAGTTTGTATTTCTGTGGGGTCGGTGGTGATATCCTCTTTATCATTTTTTTATTGCATCTATTTGATTCTTCTCTCTTCTTTATTAGTCTTGCTAGTGTTCTGTCAATTTTGTTGATCTTTTCAAAAAACCAACTCCTGGATTCATTGATTTTTTGGAGGGTTTTTTGTGCCTCTATCTCCTTCAGTTCTGCTATGATCTTAGTTATTTCTTGCCTTCTGCTAGGTTTCGAATGTGTTTGCTCTTGCTTCTCTAGTTCTTTTAATTGCGATATTAGAGTGTCAATTTTAGATCTTTCCTGCTTTCTCTTGTGGGCATTTAGTGCTATAAATTTCCCTCTACACACTGCTTTAAATGTGTCCCAGAGATTCTGGTATGTTGTATCTCTGTTCTCATTGGTTTCAAAGAACATCTTTATTTCTGCCTTCATTTTGTTATGTACCCAGTAGTCATTCAGGAGCAGGTTGTTCAGTTTCCATGTAGTTGAGCGGTTTTGATTGAGTTTCTTAGTCTTGAGTTCTAGTTTGATTGCACTGTGGTCTGAGAGACAGTTTGTTATAATTTCTGTTCTTGTACATTTGCTGAGGAGTGCTTTACTTCCAATTACGTGGTCAATTTTGGAGTAAGTACAACGTGGTGCTGAGAAGAATGTATATTCTGTTGATTTGGGGTGGAGAGTTCTATAGATGTCTATTAATTAGGTCTGCTTGCTGCAGAGATGAGTTCAATTCCTGGATATCCTTGTTAACTTTCTGTCTCGTTGATCTGTCTAATGTTGACAGTGGAGTGTTGAAGTCTCCCATTATTATTGTATGGGAGTCTAAGTCTCTTTGTAAGTCTCTAACTCACACCAGTTAGAATGGCGATCATTAAAAAGTCAGGAAACAACAGGTGCTGGAGAGGATGTGGAGAAATAGGAACACTTTTACACTGTTGGTGGGATTGTAAACTAGTTCAACCATTATGGAAAACAGTATGGTGATTCCTCAAGGATCTAGAACTAGATGTACCATATGACCCAGCCATCCCATTACTGGGTATATACCCAAAGGATTATAAATCATGCTGCTATAAAGACACATGCACACGTATGTTTATTGCAGCGCTATTCACAATAGCAAAGACTTGGAATCAACCCAAATGTCCATCAGTGACAGATTGGATTAAGAAAACGTGGCACATATACACCATGGAATACTATGCAGCCATAAAAAAGGATGAGTTTGTGTCCTTTGTAGGGACATAGATGCAGCTGGAAACCATCATTCTTAGCAAACTATCACAAGAACAGAAAACCAAACACTGCATGTTCTCACTCATAGGTGGGAACTGAACAATGAGATCACTTGGACTCGGGAAGGGGAACATCACACACCGGGGCCTATCACGGGGAGGGGGGAGGGGGGAGGGATTGCATTGGGAGTTATACCTGATGTAAATGACGAGTTGATGGGTGCTGACGAGTTGATGGGTGCAGCACACCAACATGGCACAAGTATACATATGCAACAAACCCGCACGTTATGCACATGTACCCTAGAACTTAAAGTATAATAATAATAAATAAATTTTAAAAAAATAAAAAAAATTTTAAAAAAGTATAAAAAATAAATAAATAAATAACAAAGGAACCAGCATAAGTACTTCAATATTGTGTATCTCATGTGTGTTTGAAAATGTGAAGGAATGTTTGAATGACTTTTGTTTCCTGTCTCTACTAACAATACAAAATAAATTAGCCAGTCGTGTTGACGCACACTTGTAATCCCAACTACTCGGAAGGCTGAGGCAGCAGAATCACTTGATCCTGGGAAGCAGATTGCTGTGAACTGAGATCATGCCACTGCGCTCCAGCCTAGGCAACAAAGGGGAGACTCAGTCTAAAAAATAATAATAATAATGCTATGAATATCTTTGTGTAAATATCTTGGCATGCTTGTACTATTAATTTCTTGAGACTAGTTATTATAAGTGTAATTGCTGGGTGAAAGCGCTTTGCCCCTTTTATAACAATTTTATCACTAATTCTCCTAATTAGTATAGTGGTAAGTATCCCCGCCTATCAAATTATGATAAACTTTTTCCGAGGTACTCTTGGTAAATCAGAAAGTTACTAGGAGTTTTTAAATTTTCAACCTAATAGCTGAAAAATACATTATGTTGATGTGTGCTTTTTTAAATCATCCATGAAGCTGATCATTGATCATTAGCTTTTCAAATTACTTTTTAAATTTTATTTGTCTTCTTGATTCATAAAAACTTTGTATTAATATTCAGTTTTGTCATACATAGTGGAAAAAATATTTAGTAATAATAAGGAGGTTCCCTGGTGCCCTTACCTTACTCCTGATTTCAAAGGAGTTGACTCTTCTAGTATTTCACTATAAGTTTGATGATAGAGTAGAATTAGATTGATGGAAAATAAAAGTGCTCTTATTTCTGTTTTCAGTTTTTAAAAAATTTAAAATGATAGTGTATTTTATCAAATGCTTTTACAATAATGAATTAAAGTAACATATCCTGTGAATGGAGTATTCTTGCATTCCCAATATAAACTTAACACTCTATATATTGCTGGAATGTTGTGTTTGTGTTGAGGGCAGGGATGGATCATCTGGATGAGGTTTTGTTACTTAGTATGCTTTTAACTTTGTTAAATGCATTGAGAAATACTGTTTTCCTCTTTGAAAATGGAGTTTGCGCGTAGCTTTCTTTTATTATTTGTGGCCACAATGCATTTTTCAGGTCTCATATAGTTCTGCTTTCTTGTTTTTTCTTGCTTAGTTTTGCTAGGATTATTGCTTGAATTTGATCCTCCCTACCCACAACTTTGCTAGAATCTGCTCTTGAATTTACTTGAAGTTTTAATTCTGATTTTCATATCATATTTTCTTAATTTTAATGTTCTATTTATTTGCTCTTCTTCCTGTTGCTGTGAATGTAACTTTGATGACTACAAATGATAGGCTTTTTCCTGGTCAGTTTATATAAATACTAATTTGCTTATATGTTCACGTAGCAATCGAAATAGATAATACTGGCAAAAGAGCTAACATCCCAGGAGTTTAAATAATGATAAATTATTCCAACTTTTAGCTGTCTTTGTCACTTGGTTGTCCACATATAACAGGGAATATATTTGCTATAAATAGCAATGAGAGTTGTGTATGTGATGGTCTTGAAGCTCACCCCGTTCCCTGTTCCAACATTTCTCATTTCAAAATTCACCAACTCATTTAAAAGTATGATTAAGAAAATTACTTCTTTAATGTAGTTTCTTTTCAGGACGCTATTGATGGTTATGATGGTACTTACTTTAAAATTAAACTTTTGCTTATCTTAAGCAAATTCATTTATATTTTTGTCCATAGTTTAAAATTAATCACAGTTGTCTATTGATATTGGATTTTTGTATGTACATTATATAATTATGTATACATACACACACAGTAGGAATTGAACAATCACTGCTAATCAAGGCAGATAAGTATGAAGTACATTGCTTACTTCGATGTAAGTAAAGCCACCTCCTGACTGAGGACAAGGACATCATGATGACTTCCTTAATTTAAAATGTTATGACACTATTAAAGTGATTCAGTGAATTTATATGTATGGTTCCAGTTAAGCAGAGACAGCCAATTTGTAAGATCCAAGCTAAAGTCCAACTTCTCATAATATCAAATGCATTTTTTATTCTATACCAAACTACCCTTGTTTCAAGCATCTGTTTTAGTGTTGTATAGAGCATGAGAATCAGAAGATATCAGAGATGTTTTCCAACCATTTGTTTTCAAGCACGGAAACTGAATCTGAGGTCATGAAAAGATACACTTTACTGACCGATGAAAATCAGGTTCTTCCTAAACAATAAATTTCCTCTTCAATTCTTGTGGCACTGTCACAAGGTTTCTTAACCCACACCCTTTTAAAATTTGGGACCAAATAATTCCTTATTGTAGGAGGCTGTCTTTACATTGTAGGATGTGCAGTAGTATCCCTGGCCTTCAGCCCATCAGATTCCAGGAATACATCTCAGTTGTGACAGCCCATCTCTAAACATCACTAAATGCTGCTGGGGCTCAGAAATCTTCCCCAGTTGAGAATCAGTGCATTTCCCTAACCAGTAATAATCTGACATAGTTTTCTGCCAGATCTTACATCTTTAAATTAAAATACATCCAACATTATGGTGCAGAGACAATAGCTTGTTTATCAAAGAAAAACGTATCCAAAGTTCATCCACAAATCAAGAGGGAATTGAAAAGGAGAAAAAGAAACCACAGGAGTTTCAGAATTCCTTTTGTTTTGTTTTATTCTGTTTGTGATTTCTGAATGAACTGAGAAGGGATTGGTAAATTATCTATAGGGAAGGGAAATCTAATCAAGTCCCCAATAGTTCAGGATAATGCAGCTTAATGTCATCTAGAAAAACAATGATATAAGACATTTTTAGAGAGGAAGAACTTTAGACATAGTTTTTTAAATTTCTCTTTCACATCGTTGTCATGAAGTAGCCCTATTAAAGGAAAGAATTAGGAGTTAGTAACAAACCCAAAATAGCAAGTATAAGCACAAAAGAATAGAGAAAAGCAATAAACTCACCTTCAGATGATTTGAGAATTTAGAGATCATCTCTACCAAAGCTGTGTAGAATCAGTAACTTCTAGCATCTTATTAACAAAGCAGGAACTCTACTTTCTTATTAACTTCTGTGACATCACTGTGCTTTACAAAAAGACGTATAGTTTCTCTTGTCTTTTGTTTTCTTTCAACAAGTATATGTGTAGTAGCTTTCTCTTTTGCAGCCTTTTGTACTTACCTTTTGTAGTCAACAGGCACTTCACCAGTGATTTTTAAATTAACGATGTGTAATATTTTCCTGGTGTTTCATTTAGTTCTTAATTAAAATTTCTCCAAAATAAGTCAGCTAAAATAGTAAAGCCAAAAAGAAACTTGAAAAAAATCTACTGAAAATAAAATCAAATAACAGGACAGCAACTTACATAGGCATACCGCTTTTACCACTTTATACGTACAAAATGAATTCACAGATGTTATCTCATTTTGTTCTCAAAGAAATTTGCCCAGAGATACACAGCTGGCAAGTAAGTGGCTTATAAATAACCACTTACCAGTAAGGAACATAAACCTAGATCTCCTGACTAGATTAATTTTTGTTTCACTATGCTAGATTGTTTCTCCATATATGTGTGTGTGTGTGTGTGTGTGTGTATGTGTGTGTATGTATGTATATGTATATATGTATATAACTTATGAATTCTGCTTCAGAAAATTTTACATTAACCTTAGAGTCTACTGTGGAAGGAATAAAGACAGTTCTGATCAGAACCTAGAAAATTAATGAGTTATATGTATGTGATTTTTTTTCTGAAAATAAAGATGGTATCATTTATATCTGTCAGCCCATTGTGAAAATTAGAATTATCAGTCGGACTGATGTGGTGTTACCCAGGAGAAAAATGTTATTTCAAAAGAAGCTTTGAACACCCTACTATGAGGGAAGAGGATTATAACCTGTTTTTTAGAAGGAGCTGTGACATGTGAACAATACTGTTTGCATGAGCCATTTCTAAAGTAAAGCAGGTATACTAACACAGGGAGTGCTAACATTGTAAAAACTCATGTTAATTATGTTGAAAAAGGCAAAGCAAGACAAATTGGTTTAAAACTTTGAGGCTTATTTTCTTTTTGATGCGGCTCTTTTTTTTTTTTTTTAAGGTTTATCCTTAGTATACTCAGTAAAGTGAAAAGTTTATGAATATAGAACAGGGTGATTTTAATAACTTTATATAAATCTGAACTTTCTAGTTTTGGATTTTTTTTTAACTAATTCGCAGAGTATTTTCACAAATACTAAATAAGTATTCTTTCACAGCATTGTACAAGACTCGGTGATGAGCAACACTGGGCTTAAGAAAGTACTATATCCTTTGGTTAAATTCCATCCGGATGTACTCTGATTAGTTTAGATCCTGAACCTGAACTTAGCTGCAGTGGTGACTAATTTACAATGAAAATACTTTTTATAAAATATTTTACACTTAAAACACAAAAATTATATTTCACATTATGTATGGGTTTTGCCTGTATATCTAATTATGATGTCTACTTTCCAAATTACAGCCTGCTGCAAATCCTGAGACTCCAAACTCAACCAGCTCCAGAGAAACTAGCACCCAGTCTTCATCTGCTGCAGTTAGCCAAGGCTATGTTTTACCAGAAGGCAGAATCATGCCAAACACTGTTTTTGTTGGTGGAATTGATGATAGGGTATTGTATTCATACCTCATTTTTGCCTTAAAGTGCATTATGAACAATGGGATTTGGGCCCTGTTACAAACTTAATTTTTTTTTTTTCTTTGTACTTCATGGAGGCTTAGAGTTGGGTTTACTTTTGACCCATAGGTACTAAAAATATCTTTGACAAAGAGCTACCGGTCATTTAGGTAAAACTGGGGGAGAAATTTTCACCTCATTGTAGTAAAATTGTAGTAAAATGGAAATTTTTGAATGCTGAATTTTTACTCTTGGAATTCAATTCTTTTCCATAGATGGATGCAACTGAGATTAAAAGCTTCTTTGGTAGATATGGTTCAGTGAAAGAAGTGAAGATAATCACAGATCGAACTGGTGTCTCCAAAGGGTGAGTAATTTTATCAAAAATACCTGAACTCTAGTCACCTATAGTGTGTCAAAGAAGACTTCAAAAGTGATACTGTGACACATGTATAAATGAAATTTTTTGCCGTGTTAGTTTCTTTCATGTAGGGGATAAAAGGTTATTGCCAACTCTTTTATTTATTCATTTTTCTAATGTTTATTTTTAAATGTCTGCAATTCCTGTTTCATACAAATGAGTTACCAGTTTTGTCAAATAATTGTTTTCTTCATACACTGCACAATGTCTTAAATTTTAACCGTCTTGTCTTAGATAGTAAGTTAATTTCAGGTTCACAGATATGAATTCTTTGTTAATCAATAAAGTTTTCACACTGTCCTAATCTTAGCACATTTTGACATAGTTCCGATTAGGAAAAAGAAGTATTTGTAGAGGATCTGTCATGTACATCTTAACAAGTAGTTACCATGGTATATTATTTATCTTTTGTCACGATCACTGCTGTATATAGAATAGCAGAAGTTCTGAACTATGTACTGCCTGATGGTGATTTTATACTTCATTTATCTGCCTTTATAGCTATGGATTTGTTTCATTTTTTAATGACGTGGATGTCCAGAAGATAGTAGAAGTAAGTAATCTAATAGAAAAATCTATTATTTATTTTATTGATACAACATTTAGTGTTAGTGATATACTAAGTCTTGTGTAAAATTTGGAGAAAGATATACTTTCTGTTCAAAATCCAAACTTAGAGTAGCCACATAACTTGTTAGATCCTGTTTATTTTTGACTGGACACCTAGGTTCATGAACTACAGGCAGGAAGGGTTGTAGAAAGGGTTGTAGAAAGGGTGATGAAAAGTTTTTGATCACCTTTCACTTGATGCCTCTTGACACTGATTAGAGTAGTAAGGATAAGTAAGGTAGCTTCATGATGACAAATTATAATTTGGTGTGTATCTATATATACTATATAGATATACTATATTATCTGTATAGAAGATATACGGATCTTCTATAATAATAGAAACTTCAGAAGACTTTATATATTTACCCAAGTCTTGGAAGTCAAGACTTGAAAACTGAGTCTAGTTTTGTTACTGTTTTATTTTCAGTCACAGATCCATATCCAGGGTAAAAAACTGAAGCTGGGCCCTGCAATCAGAAAACAAAATTTGTGTGAGTAGGAAAAGACATTGTTCTTTTTGACACGTGTAGATTTTCAGATAACTAAAAATAGGCTTTTTCCTTTTTGCTTTTTAAAAAGGTGCTTATCGTGTGCAGCCACGTCGTTTGGTATTTAATCCTCCTCCTCCACCGCAGTTTCAGAATGTCTGGAGTAATCCAAATGCTGAAACATATCTTCAGCCCCGAGTCGCGCTGAATCCTATAACTCAGTACGTTCAGGTGAGAACTGCTTACGTTCCTGTTGTCTTATTTTAGTCATCATTCCTTCTGTGCAATTGTATCTACACTTCCCATAGTAGGTGGCAATAGAATCCCTGTTTGAATACCTTGAGTGATGGGAAATTTATTATTTCTGTTAGAAATTTCTTCTTCTTAATGTTTGTTATATGAGCAAAAAATCTACATACATTGTCAGTCTTTCTATTAGGAATGACCTCTATAGACACATGAACAAATCTCTTCCTATCTCTTCCTTTTTCACCCCACGTAACTAATTCCTAAAGTATTTGGAAGCAGCTCTCCTTGTTGGAACCGAACTGTCGATTCCCTCCTGGGCAGGGGTCTCCGCGAAGGATCACCGACACGAGATTCACAGCAGAGAGTTATTTATTACTAGAGCAGTAGGGTCCCAAGCTCTAAGTTGGCCCTGGGACCCCGAGTGCTTGTTACAGGTTGTTTATATAGGCAAACACAAGTTCAAACACAGCTTAAGGCGCGAAATTCAAACAAAGCTTTAGGCGCGTGGTAATTGGGTCTAGCTATGGCCTGAGCAAGGTGTCTTGTTCTAATTGGTTAGAGCAGGACCTTATGAGGTTTTTTCTTGGAGTTGCTGATTCCGGGAACTTCGAGGCAGGGTGGGACCCCCGGAATTGGCAGGGTGGGACCCCATGAGGTTGTTTCCCGGAATTGGCAGGGTGGGACCCTATCAGGGTGGAACCCTATCGAGGCAGGGTGGGACCCTATCCAGAGCCACCTGGTGTTAATTTTTTTTTTATATGAGGCCTAGTTTCTAAGTTTTATGAGGCCTAGTTTCATTCCCTCCTCTTTTTGTGTCAGAGGCTCAATCTTGAGCCTTTTCTTCAGTCCTGAGGGTCTGGTATTGTTGGGTCAGAACCATAGCATGTACTATGTTTAATCTATTTTTAATAAGGGTGAGTAAGCGGTTGAGTATGCATGGCCCGAAAGTCAGGATGAGCGTGAGCAGGATGAGGGGTCCTAAGATGGTGGAGATTAGGGTGCTAAACCAAGGGGATCGGTTGTACCAATATTCAAACCAATTTTGCTGAGATTCTCTCTCTTTTTTTTTCTTGTCTAATCTTTCTCTTAGTTTTGCCATAGAATCTTTAATTACTCCTGAATGATCTGCATAAAAACAACGTTGCTCTTTCAGGGCTGCACAGAGCCCGCCCTCTTTCAGAAAGACAATTTCTAGTCCTCGTCGGTTTTGTAATACAACTTCAGACAGAGAAGTCAAGGACTCTTCAAGTTTTGTGATAGATTGTTCTATGGCTCTAAGGTCTTCATCTATGGCTATTCTAAGTTGTTGCAGATGATGGTTACCATGCACTAGGGCTGCTGTCCCGGTCCCAACTCCAGCCGCTACCCCAATTCCTAACATAACGGCGAGGGTGAGGGAAATAGGTTCTCTCTTTGGTCTAGTATGAGTTTTTTGCTCATACCGGAGATCAAAGGAGTCTCCAGAGTGATAGTATACTCCGGGAACAACTTGTACCAATACGCAATAGTGGGTGCCGCTGCTAAAAACGGCTGTGGATACACAGGAGGTGAGCCCAGTGTTGCAAGCCCACCAGTCCGTCTCGGAGGGGACCAAATAGTGATTGGAGCTGGGTACTGTCAAGGTTACATTACAAAGATGCTGGTGACTAGGGGGCACTCGGCCTATGCAGGTCCCCGACCCAGAAACCTCAGCCAGGGTTAGTTTTCTTTGTTGTTCCCACGCGCATCCAGTAGGATTGGCGGAGTTAGTGAAATTATTAGTGGAGGCGATGCCTTCATAGTAAGTGGGGCCTGTTGCCAGACATAGCCAGCAAGAGGAGGTAAATTCTGGCTTTGTCTGGTTTAAAGCGAAATAGGAGCCTTTTATGAGATTTAGGAGCCTGTCACCTATTCCCAAGTCAAGGGGCCCGCGGGTGACGTTTTGGGCTGAGGGTGTGTATTTAGAGGAGGTGGAGATTAAGGGCGGGGAAGTGCTTTTAGGAGCTCTTGGTTGGGGCTCTCTCGATGCAGGAACCAGGGGCTTCCCTGTTTCTGATAAAACTTGGTTTGGTCCTACTGCGACAGGGGCTGTGATAGGGTTGACTATTAATTTGATTTGGATAGGGATTCCATACAGTGGCTTTTGGTATAAATATAGGCCCCATGTTAACCCGGATATCCAACGGTTATCAGATTTTGCTGCATCTTCAAACTTGATGTGGACCAGATTGCAAGTTTTTGAATATCGGGTTCTGGTGCAGCGCTGGACAAAGGACATGGTTATGTACCAGGGTTTCGTGGCCCATTTCCATTCTCCATCATTAGTAGTTATACAGGACCAACTAGCGCAAAACAGGGCATCTATTTCTCCACAAGTTTTTCTCATTTCTCCTGTCCTGAATCCGGGACAGGCATAGAACCCGTTCCGGCTTACGGACACCCTTCTAGCCTGTTTTCTCCATTCTCCCCCTTCCATGTCATCTATCTTTGCTATTTTGTCTAGGTTGAAATAGAGGTCAGGGAACCAAGTCCCTATAGGAGCAATTTTTGAGGTTTTATCTAAGACCTCATGAGTACTAAAATCAGTTACCTGCCAGGTCAGGTTATATGGCCGGTGGGGGTTATTACTGCCAGCAACGCAGGGAAGGAGGGCTAGTAACAAGCAAGGGGCTAGATACGAGAGAGTCTTATCTTGAGCGGGTCCTCGGAGCGTCAGAGTCTCCATGTCTCAGGTGGTGTTGGTCCGGGCGTCCCTGGAGCAGCCTTGGCGTGGGATGCGTGGATCCAAGTGGAGATTCCGTCAACCTTTATGGCTGTGGGCGTGGTCAGGAGAACAATGTAGGGTCCTTTCCACCGAGGCTCTAGTCCTTGAGTGCGATGCTGTCTAACGTAGACAGAGTCTCCCACCTGGAAGGGGTGACTGGTTTGTGGATGTCCTGGTTGGTACAGTTCTGCCAAGGGGGCCCAGATTTGGGCCTGTACTGCTTGGAGTCCTTTTAGCCGGGCCTGTAGGTCAGTCTTAGGATCGGAGGGGGAGAAGGAGTTAAGCAAGGTTGACAAAGGGGGAGGTCCTCCGTAGAGGATTTCATATGGAGTGAGCCCAAAACGGTTAGGTGTATTTCGGGCCCTTAACAGAGCTAAGGATAGGAGGCATCTCCAATCTTTTAAACCAGTCTCCAAGGTCAATTTAGTAAGGGTCTCTTTTATTGTTCTATTCATTCTTTCTACCTGTCCTGAGCTCTGGGGTCTATAGGCCAATGTAATTTCCAATTAATCCCCAATATCCTGGCGAGCCCCTGACTTACCTGAGAAACGAAGGCCGGCCCGTTATCTGACCCAATTACCTTGGGAAGTCCGAATCTAGGAAAGATTTCTTCCAAAATTTTCTTGGCTACTATGTGTGCCGTTTCTTGCCGGGTGGGGTAGGCTTCTACCCATCCTGAAAAGGTATCTATAAACACTAGTAAGTACTTATATCCAGCATAGTGAGGTTTTACTTCAGTGAAGTCTATTTCCCAATAGACTCCTGGGCGGTTACCACGAGTTCGTTTCCCTTCTGGCACTCGGGTAGCCCCAGCGTTTACTTGCTGACAGACCTTACAGGCAGATGTCACTTGTTCTACAAGGGTAGTTGCCTTTGGGATTAGAAAGTCAGTTTTTTCAATCAGTAATTTTAGCTTTCGACTACTCAAGTGTGTCCAGGCATGCATCTGCTGGATCATTGCCAGGGCCTCCTTTTGGGGAAGGACTATTTTTCCTCCTTTTTCCCAGTTTTTAGTGTCTTTGTTTTCTATGGCCCCTATGGCTTTTGCTTTTTCCTGGTCTTCTGGGGTATAAGTATGTTCAATAGTTATATGGCTGGTTTCGTCAGGTTCTGTGGCTAGGGTCAGTACTTCCGCCATGGCGGCTTGCCTGGCTACTTGGTCAGCCTGTCTATTTCCTACTGCGACTGGATCCTGTCCTTTCTGATGCCCGGGGCAGTGAATTATAGGCACTTCTTGAGGAAGAAGAAGGGCTTTCAATAAGGCAATTATTTCAGCTTTGTTCTTGATTTCCTTTCCTTCTGAGGTTAGGAGACCTCTTCTTTCATAGATACTTCCATGAGTATGAGCCGTTGCAAAGGCATATCGGCTCTCAGTATAAATGTTAGCTTTCTTTCCCTTGGACAGCTCTAGGGCCTTGGTTAGTGCTATTAACTCAGCCTTCTGTGCAGACGTGCCAGGAGGTAATGATTGTGCCCAAATGGTGTTGTGACCATCTACTACTGCCGCTCCTGCCCTCCGGGTACCTGAGTCAAGGTAACTGCTGCCGTCTGTGTACCAGGTGTGATCCGCGTCTGGGAGTTCTTGGTCTTTAAGATCTTCTCGTGTTCCATGGGTCTCAGCCAGTACTTGCCGACAATCGTGTGGGCTTGGTTGGTCTTCTGGTACCGGCAGCAGCGTAGCAGGGTTTAGGGTGACCGGAGGGCCAAACTGGACGCGATCCGTGTCCAGTAGGAGGGCCTGGTAGTGGGTTAGGCGTGCGTTGGTTATCCACCGGTCCGGAGGCTGCTGCACTATGGCCTCTAGAGCATGTGGGGTAATAACAGTCAGTCGCTGCCCAAGGGTTAACTTAGCAGAGTCCTTGACCAGCATAGCGGTGGCTGCCATGATACGGAGACACGGGGGCCAGCCGGCCGCTACAGGGTCTAGCTTCTTAGGTGTGCTACCGGTCTTTTCCAAGGCCCTAATTTTTGGGTCAAGACCCCTTTGGCAATTCCTTGCCTCTCGTCCAGGAAGAGGGTAAAGGGCTTTGAGGTGTCCAGTAACCCAAGGGCCGGGGCAGACAAGAGTGCTTGTTTTAGTGCCTCAAAAGCCAATTGATGCTCTGTCTGCCAGGTGAAAGGGGTGCTCTCCTTGGTGAGTGCATAAAGCGGGGCGGCCAGTTCAGCAAAACCGGGTATCCACAAGCGACAGAACCCAGCAGTTCCCAAGAATTCACGTACCTCCCTGGGATTTTGTGGT